TTCATTCTACTACTGTCCAATCAGCTTAAAGTATTAAGCTTCTATGCTACCTTAACATGTCATTTAGGAAAGGAGACAAGATTAACAATATGTTAAGGTTAGATTTTTAAATAGCCCATCATTGCTAAGTACCTAATCTCTCCTGTGAAAGGAAAATAAAATCTTGACCTCAAACTCACTATGTTAAAAGGAAAAGTTACAATTGAGAACTGGGTCATGCAAAAACTGCCTTCCCTTTTGTACCTAAACAGATAGGTGCAATGATAGAAGGCCATTCTCCAAGGGGCCCCCCTCCTTTTACATATAACATGTGGAATCAGTAAGAGCTAATCAAAGCCTTACACGGAAGTGGCCACTTACCTCCTTACCCACCCTCCTTATTTTTTCCTTTCCTTCTTCTCCTTCTGCTGCTCTTCCCTCTTAAAATATTGAAGTCCTCCAACACCTCTTTGGAAAAAGCACAGATCACAGATGCTACTGCAACCTGTGTCTCTTTTTCTCAGTTGCATCCTAAACCTTAGCAAAATCAACCTCTAAATTGATTGAGAGCTGTCTCAGACACTTTCTCCTTTACCAAGTTAAGAATTCACTATTAAATCTGTTTAGTACAATTTGTTGGGCTGCTAAAGTCAAGAGACCTAGGTTTATTTTGTTCTGCCATGACGGTCCCCAGCTTTCCTGTTTCTGAAGTGAGAGCATTGATGGTCTCTAAATTTTCTTCTAGTTTTTAACCTCTTCAGAAATGCTGGCATCTATATGTTGCAGAGCAAAAGAACCATCAAACTGCTCTCAACATATGTCAGAAAAACTATTACAAAAAATATTATGAGGGTTGATAACACCCATATTTCATATGTGAGTTGCTTGAGTGAATTAAAAAATTATCTATAAACATATATACAATTATGGTTATAGCAATGGTATAGTGGTTGAGTTAGTATACAAAGGTTAATGAAAATAGAAGTAGGAAGCTGGATTAAATGTGATTATTTGAGTTATAGTTCTGTCTAACTCTTAAAAAACTTTCTGGCATTTGAACATAAGAACCAAACAGCAGGACAGATGAAATGATTATCCTATAAGCAGAGCCCAGAGCAAAGAGAACACATTGCCTATGACTGCTTTCCAGAACATTTTTTTATGTATAAATATATGCATTGTAAATTAATAGAATTCTCTCTTACCAAAAAGAATATGGGTTTCTTTTTTCCCATGTACCATCTAGCATAAAGACAACACTCATTAGAAGTTGAATAATAATGAAGCCCTATCGGGTGGTTTCATTGACGGAAGTTTCATTTCATTAATGCTGATGGACCCAAAAGCATATTCTATGAGATTCAGAATATATGCATTATTCTCAAAACCTAAACACAATTGCAGAAATTAACAACATGAATACTTCAAGACCCTGAATAAAGCAATTCTGGCCATTCATTGTGCCTCATTTAAACACACAAACTCATATATATGAACATGCATAACTTTATACTTCCCAGTTTGGTCTCTGTAAAAGTTATGTAGTCTGTTTTTCTGTTCATGGTTTGTTTTCGTCTTTCTTCCTATTGGATTCATATAATATTTATTTCATTTTCCTAATATTAGAATGTATAATCTATGGATAACAGTGTTATTTACCAGTTATACTCTATTGATATGGTAAATGACTTAAAGAATTTGCCATGTGTTCTTTTGAATTTCTTAGGCCCCTAACAATTGCTTGGCTTCTAAACTGAAGTGCCAAGCACGTTTTGCAAAAACCTTACATTCTTTCTTAAACTATGAAAACTCTTTTCACACAAACACCAGATTCAAAAGGAGAGGTTAATCGATAAGGCCTATGTGCACCCCCTCTCTGCTTATGTTTCTGGAAAAAAAAAATTATATAACCCCCCTCCCCCCCCCAAAAAAAAACATGAGAATTAAGTGGTATAAAAGTAGCGGTTTCATATAGGGAGGGTTTTAGCTGGTTTGCTTTGGGATGTTTTGAAGCACGGTGGGAGAAGTGGTAGCACCATTATGAAGGCCGAGAGAACATTTGCATCAAAGCCACGCTTCTATCTACCTGTGTGACCAAGAAAGAAAGTTGAGGCCGTAAAACCTGTAAACTAAGGCAGAAATGGGCCCCTGTGAGATGCATTACAAGAGCTGAGAACCAGGGACTGAACAAGGTCAGTGGCCTCATTTGCTAGAGACTGGAGTTAATAACTGATTTGGAAGGATACTCAAGCCATGGGATGATATAAAACTCTCAGGCACCCTGTAGATTATAGAATATGTGGGGACACCATTTCTCTAAAGCAAGAATAGAAAGTTCCTTGCTGTAGAGTCATGTATTGTTCTGCATAATGCTTGCAGTTAGGCCATAATAGGTGATTAGATAACCATCTCCCAGTTGCTACATGAGCACTCAAACTAACTGAAGTAGCATGTCCTCTCCCCTCAAAACACTGCTTTTTCAAGCAATGGACCCCTAGACCTAGCGTTGCTTTTGATTTCATATAACTTACTTGGGTAGTGAAAGCTGAGTATACACAGCTTGAATTTTTCTTGGAGTTTTTCCTTACATTTCTGATTGATTTCTTATGGAAAGTGACCTTAAAGGGCATCCACATTCTCCCCAAGGCAGAGCTTATTATTGCTACAATGTTAGGGTTCTGTCAGAAGAACTCCAAGAGTTGCTCCCTTTATTTTGTTAAGTTCTCTATATTAGCTTCTATGTGCACCTTTATGTAAGGAATCACTGTGCAGGCCAAATGTTCCTTTCTCCAGATAGCTTATAAGCATCTGGATAAATTTGCATTAGAAATTCAATTAACTTTATATTAAAAGGTCAATTAACTTGGCCATGATAGAGATTGTTTTTAATTACTTTTTCTTGCAGGGCTTCTCTTCCTGTCCAAGCACAAGTGACACTATCAAATGATAGTCTCATTGCCCGTTGGTTGCCTGAAACTCATATGCAAAACACACAGGAAATAACTGTCTTGGTTAAATGAATTAATAAGACATTATTTGGGCAATTCATCACTATTATAATTTGGGGGACTTAAAGTATCCATAAGCAATAATGCAGTATTTTAGCTTAAACACTATTATATTGTTCATGACAATCCCCTTCATTAGCTGTCTTTGTTGGTTTCTATTTTCTTGGTGAAATATGACAGTAAAGTAAAATGATTTTAGGGATTAGTTCTTATTACACTATATGACGGTGTATTTATTGAAAAATGAACAAATAATGACATTAAAAATAATTGATCTTGGCCGGATGTGGTGGTTTGTGCCTGTAATCCCAGCACTTTGGGAGGCCTAATCACCTGAGGTCAGGAGTTTGAGATCAGCCTGGCCAACATGGTGAAACCTCATCTCTACCAAAAATACCCAAGTTAGCCAGGCGTGGTGGTGGGGACCTGTAATCGCAGCTACTCAAGAGGCTGAGACAGGGAGAATTGCTTGAACTCAGGCGGAGGTTGCAGTGAGCCAAGACTGTTCCACTGTACTTTAGCCTGGGTGACAGGGCAAGACTGTCTCAAAACAAAACAAAACAAAACCAAAAAACTCAAGTGATCTCATTTCGTTAGAGGGCTCTTAATTAACTTTCTGTTAATATGAGCCACAACTTAACTCATTCATGGGGCACTAGAACACTTACACTTAAGAGATTCAAGAGGCTACCACTTGGCATTAAGTTACATATAACAATAGTGTCCACTTGATACCAAGTTGTATCCATTACTGAATTATCACTCAGACAAAAGAATATAACTAAAGATAAATATATAAATGATATGTCTACATATTTTGTATATAATGAATTAATATTCATTAACCCAAATTTCCAGATGACTAGCAACTTAAAAATAAAGCAAACACTGTTTAGGAGTTGATATGAGGAAAAGCCTTGAAATGAAACTTTCTATTTCACTTTTGCAGAAGGGAATAGCCTTCACCCTCCAAGTGCAATAAGAATATCCTAAGCACTTTGAAAATGTTACTTATATCACTCTCACTACAACCTTATGAGATAAAATTCATTGTTTCCATTTTACTGTTGCTTCAGCCAAGATGATACAGTTCATTGGAGGCAGAGTTACCTGTGTCCATCTACTTTTCCAGACTTTCAGTTTTCCCCTAGAATAAAAGTGCTCGACCTAAAAGTAATGAGATTATAAAAGGGTGTTTTATTAGTCTCTTTTCTTTTGTCTGAGTGACAGTTCAGTAATGCTTACAACTTGGTATCAAGTGGACGCTATTGTCACTTGTAACTTAATGCAAGTGGCAATCCCTTGAATCTCTTAAGCATCCTAGTGCCCCATGAATGAGTTGAATTGTGGCTCATATTAAGACAAAGATAACTAAGCACCCTATAAAAGGGTGCTTAGGAGTGTTCTGAATGCTAGAAGTAATTCTAAGCTTCTAAGTTTTGGAACTGAGTAAGAGGAAGGGAACAGTTTAGTCCCGTGCCACTCAAAGAATGGGGCCACAGGAATGTAAATTAACTATGTCATTGAGCATATCTTTTTTCCCCATGGTAAGAATTTCTCAATGAAAAAAGCTGGGCATCAGTTTATATTCCAGTGCACATTTATAGTTTCACATGGACCAAAACCAATTTGAAACCAGTGATCAATACATGAACAAGGCTTTAAAGTGACAAGCTTAAGAAACTTCTTATGGGATTTTCCTTTTCTGTGAATATTTAAATCATTTTGAATAAGAATTATCCTTAAAGTTATCCTATTTGATTTTTCACTTATCAAAAGGATAAGTCACATCTTTTATTCACAATAGAGATAGTAATGAAGGTGAATGCCCTAAACCTTCTAAATCTATGAGGGCATTAATCTTAGTTGAAGTAATATTTCTAGTTTTAATAAGCTGATCTCTTCCAAAAGCAAAAAAAAAAAAAAAGCTTTCTTAATAAAATGAACAATATTGCCATCACACAGCATGACGTTTGAAGTGAAATACAAACTTTAAAAATATATTATTCATACCTGCACCTCCGCCTATGCTTAGAATCTTAATTTCTGATTTTGTGTCTCCGATCCTGAAAGAAAAAAATTATGTAGTTTTAGAAAAATGTGTTAGATGCTTTGTGAAATCTGATTATCTAGTCTAGTTGTAGAGAACAGACAGACTAAAAATACGATGAATGAAAACTAGGCCAACATGAAAGGTCCCAATTATATCAGCAGTTATATTGCAATCTTTAGAGTATATTTCAGAATATAGGTTTTATTCATTAACAATCTTGAACTAGGAGACTTGGAAACGGCAGTATGAACATTTCAGGGGTGGAAAATGCCATTCGTTTGGAGAACAAGAATAGAAAATGTGGAGTTTTGAGTCTGGTCACATAACAAGCCACTCATTGTAGATAAAGGAAAGGCTCAGGTGGTTCCCACTGTCTCTATAATGTCTACCTTCTTTTATCCTTTTATTTTTTAACCTTCCTTTTAATGAACAAATGTTTATTAAACATGTATTATGTGTATTCTGTCCTAGGAATTTAAAAAGTAGTTATCATTTTGCTCTCAAAATGAAATGGGTGACCTGAATTGTGGCTCAGGTACTAGAAACAGAGTGGAATAGACATACTGGGAAATATGCCAGTAGGACTTGCTGTTAGATTGATGTGAAGAGGTCAGAAAAAAATACGAGTGCGCAATGACTTCCCTGTTTCAGGCTTGGATGATTGGGCAAAGGGTGATGCCAAAGAGGAAGCTGAAGAATGTAGTTTGGCAGTAAGTTTATGTTTTCTCAGGGCTTTAAAATAAATAAATAAATATGAATTCAGCAGATGTTTGGATTTGCAAGATTTAAGCTGAGAGGAGAGAAATCAGGGCCAACGATGTATTCTGGAGAATTATCATCATAAAGTAATGGTCAATGCTAGAAGAGCAGATTCCGTCATCCAAAGATACTGCAAAGTTAGAGTAGTAGTGGATGGTGATGCAATACCAACTTCTAAACATCACTGGATTGTGAAGAATACACAGCAGAGACAGAGAAGAAAAGAAATAAAGAACAGAGAGGTACTGGGATAATTGGAGGCAGAGGAAGCCCTTTGTCATGGCAAAAGCAGCAGAGAATACTGCTTAGAAAAGGAAAAATCTCCATCGAATTTGGTAGTATGAGTGTCTTTAATAACAGCAGTTTTGAAAAAAGAGAGTGAGTACTGAAGTCAGATGGCAATGGGATTAAAAGTGAGCTCAAAAATGAAGAGGCAGATTTAGAGTCTGTTGAAACGGATGAAAGAGGGAAGAAAAAGAGATGACAGCTATAGGAGAAACATGAAGGGGAAAGGATGCTGTTTGTTTCTTTGTACTGTGGGTTGGTAAACCGATCTGTGTTTTGTCTACAGTGCAAGAGCCTGCACAGTCACAGGATAGGGATAAAGGTTGGAATAACGTTCTGAAGGAATTTTGCAAAGTTTACGGTCAAGAGCACCTATAAATGAGTTGCCTTCTTCAGTTCTAATTATCTTCCAACTCATAATCAGGAGTCCTAACACACCCATTTCTATCTAAACCTTTTGTTAATTCTTTAAAATGCTTGCATCTATGACACCATAGGGAGGCTATGAAGCAGAGTACCCAAGTTGAAATCCCAGGTTACTGATACATTACCTTGAGCAAGTTATTTTACATCTCTGTGAAATATGTTAATAATACCACCTATTTTATAGGATGATGATGATGATGATTATTATTATTATTATATTATTATTATTTGAGATGGAACCTTGCTCTGTCACAAGGCTGAAGTGCACTGGTGCAATCTTGGCCCACTGCACCCTCCGCCTCCTGAGTACAAGTGATTCTCTGGCCTCAGCCTCCCAAGTAGCTGGAATTACAGGCAGGCACCATTGGGTCCAGCTAATTTTTTGTATTTTTAGTAGAGGAGGGGCTTCACCATGTTGGCCTGGATGGTCTCTGTCTCCTGACCTCGTGATCCGCCCACCTCAGCCTCCCAAAGTGCTGGGATCACAGGTGTGAGCCACTGAGCCTGGCCTCTTGTGGGATTATTAATAACTGTTTCTAACTGATGGAGAAGCTGTGAGAATTCAATGATTTAATTCATGTAAGTCTCTTAGAAATGTATTTGCACATGACAAGCACTCCACATGTATTAGCAATTATTATAATTCTAGGCACACATAAGTAAGTGATTTCTGTAAATTAACTCTTTGAATCAAAACTCCTCTGAGTTAGATACTTTTATTCATCCCATTTCACATATTATAATGATATCAAATAATTACTGAAAATTTACTATTTTCCAGTCAAGGATTTAAATGTTTCATATGTAACAATAATAACCAACTTTACAATTTATAGCTATATGCTATAACTGTCCCCAACCTCTGCCCCACCATCTATCCCCAAATAAGGGATTGAAGAATTCCTCTATAGGGAAACAAATCATCTCAATGATAAAGTTAACATGATTTTACATCTGAGGATCTCCCAGGAAAGAGCTGAGTCCACACTCAATTATTCAGTGAGCTATTCACTCAACAGACCCTACCCTGACTTATACAAAAAGAATCTGACTACTTTTTAGTGCCTCATTATTTGATTGAATAGAAATCCAAGGCTCATTAGGTGGCTGGGGAGCTGCCTAACATAAGGAAACAGACTGAAAGAGGCAGAGAGAGCAGAGGAACATTTTATAATAAATAAAAGAAGGTATTACATCTGGGAATGATGAAAAGAATGCTATAAAAACATTATTGGACATTAAAATATAATAGTAAAAAATTAATAAATGGGTTGAAAGAGAAAGTTATAGAAAACTGGAAATGTAAGAAAATTAGGTAATCAATCCAGGAGGTATTTGATGAATAGAAGTTCCAGAAAAATAAAACAGAGGAGAGGAATGATTACCATGGTTCCTTGAAACCGAAGGATCTGAATGTCAATTGAAATAGCCGAGGAGAGTACTGACAAAATGGGTGAAAAGAAACCATTTCACAACTCACTATTTTAAAATATCAGAATAGTAGAGATAAAAAGAGTCTAAAAACTTCAAAGTAGAGGAAACAAAACCACAACACATAGCAATGTAAAGGTTATTCCACATGTCAAAGATGAGAATTTTGAGCAGCATGTGCTTTCATTTTTTCTCTTTTTTGAGACAGGGTCTCACTCTGTTGTCCAGGCTGAGTACAGTGTCCCAGTCATGGCTCACTGAAGCTTTGATCTCCAGGACTTAAATGATCTTCCCTCTTCAGCCTCTGGTGTAGCTGGTACTATAGGTGCATGCCACCTTGCCCAGCTAATTGTTTTATATTTTGTAGAGACGGAATCCTGCTATGTTGCCCAGGCTTGTCTCAAACCCCTAGGCTCAAGTAATGCTCCAGCCTGAGCCTCCCAAAGTTCTGGGATTACAGGCATGAGCCAACATACCTGGTCAGTACTTGATTTGTTAACAGCAGTCCTGGTATTTAAAAGACAATGGAAAAGTACCTTTAGATCTATGATACAAAATCATTTTCAGCATAGAGTTCTATAACCAATCAAACTATCTAACAATGAGCATAGAACAAAGGGATTTTTAAATATGCAAAGTCTCAAAAAGTTTACCTCTCATTCACTCTTAAAGCTCTTAAAAATTGGTTCAGGAAACAAAGGACTGAGGAAACAAAGGAAAGAAAGATATGAGATACAGAATCAGGAAATCAAATATTGGAGAAAGAAAGAAAGAGAAATAAACTCCCTCCTCAATAGTTGTATAACAGACCAAAGCAGATCTTCCTAAACTGAAAAAAGGAACAGAGGGCTCGGCTCCAGAAAAGTTGTTCCCTCGCGGTAAAACAAACAGATTCCTTGATATGTTTGCATATATTGAGAGGAGAATTGTATATCTGCCTGGGGTTCAAAATAGTATTAGATACATAGAGAACTAAGAAAATAAACTAAAATCAAGGCAATAGTAAACTCTAGGGAAAACAAAAAGTTGTACATAAAAGGAAACGTAATCATAGTCTAATATATTGCTGAATTATTAATAATATGTGTACATAGGCAAAATGACATAAAACAAATTATTTAACCAAAATTTTGACTAAGTATATATAGATATACTTAGAGTGGGAAATGTGCATGTTTACTTAGCTATTTTAATACAGCAAAATGAAGGAATAGAACAAAAGCATGCTATTTTAAATTATAAAAGAAAATTCCATAAATAATAAAAAGATTTCAAAGTCCTGAAAGTGGTTGTTTCTGGAGAGTGGGAATAAAGAATGGAGTGGGTGGGGTTTGTTATGGGCCCCACCCACTTTAGAAATATTTGGTGGCATTTAGAACCATTTGATATTTAAAATATGAGCATGTCTTGCTTTAATAAAAATTAAATAGGCTCAGTCCGCACTCAATTAGCACAGCGACCCACCAACTCAACAAACCTTGCCCTTACATGCACAAAGTAGATCCTAATCACTTCTCGGTAATTCGTAACTTACAGACAACTTTAAGCCACAATTTTAAAGCTCCTTCAACTATGTCTTATTTCAAACACTACCATCAGGAAAAAATTACTTAGTAAATAAATGACACTGAGTCAGATCATTCCTAACTATATACTACTGTTATAAGACAAACAGTATGCCCTTAAGAATTTTTCAGTCTTTCACAGATTTTATATTTCCAGTTAGATTTAAACTTTGAAGATAAGGAAGGGGTCATTCATCATTTATTATATTACATTCATCTGTGGTACCTCTTCAAATCAAATGGTGTATGGCTAAAGAAAACCAAGGATCTGGTAAGCTACAGACTTGAGCAAATACTTTTAGTATTGGAAAAGAATTGAGAGATTAACTCATTACCTCTAACTTCAGATGTGAATCAAGAAACCCAAAGAGGTTAACTATAATTAGTTCCTAGGTAAGAAGTTATCTATATTTGCTATTTGCTTTAATGTTTGCATCCTTATCCTATTACATATTCATTTTTAATATAGAATATTCTATTTTTTGGAAGCTAACATTTAAAATCTGAATCATATTAAATAGAAAGAGAAATAAAATTTTATATACATCTAACAAATGCCTGCTCTGTTCAGACAGAGGTACTGCCCTGGTGAAAGAATTTCAGGCCTACAATAGAGAAATTCAGCAAAAGACAAAATACCAGTTTCTTTTGCTGTTTGCAAATTGGATCCATAGTCATTTCTTCCCAGTTTCCCATTATTATTTCCTGAAGCAGAGTGAGTTACAGCAAATCACCCCCAGATAGGTGATTTGATTATCTTTAGCATGTGGAATCTGTTACTCTCATAATGCTTATCAGCTCTGGCACAAATTGAACACATTAATCACTCAAAAAAAAGAAGTCTGTAAGAAGGATAGGAACCAGTGAGTTTCACTGATAATGAAAAAATGTTCTTTTTTTAAGGAACATGTTGCTAATATTAAGTTGAAAGAAAAAGACAATTTTGGGGAAGAGAGAATTATAACAATGGGTAAGGAAAATGAATTTAAATGGATATTATGAGAACTGAGGCGTTCAATCCTAAGGGGCAAATCGTATTTGGCAATTATTTATATTTGATTCTAATAAAAACCAGACTCCCTCTGGGACTTTTTTGGGATTTAAAATTTGGAGGAGGGCTGAAAAATCTGAGTTCAAAGATTAGCATCTTATCTTTTCCCAAATGAACATGGATTTGTGCCTTCAAATGGTTAACGCTTATCTCTGCAGCTGGAAATACAGCACAAATCGGAGGCTTTTGAGTGTTTAAAGCAAACGTGGAACCAAAGCACTGCAGGAGAAAGGGAGAGCAGGGCAGCCCTAAGGGGAGGAGGGGGAGCTGCTATCAGTAACTCGCCCTTATTCCTGTGCCCAGCCTCTGAGGCTGAGCGAGACCCATCTATCACTGACACACAGCGAGTCTGAGGCTTGTCCCTTGGACAACAATGTCCCTTTTGTTACCTTGCTATTATGCCTGGCAGCTTCTTGTCCATGAATTCCAGCATGCACTGGTGTTCCGTGGAATGGTTGAGAAACCTCCGAAAAGATTCAACATATCTCCCGTGGTCAGAAAACAAGCTCCTCATGGAAGATGCCATATTTGGTTTTCTGAAAAAGACAGAGTGGGAAGCAAGGTTTAACTTCCCCTCCTTCTCTTCCCGGTTCCCTCTTTCTTTCCCCACCCCCACCAGTTTCTATCAAAAAAAAAAAAAAAAAAAAAAAACTGCTAAGCTTGTTTTGAATTTAACATGCAACAAAGGCTGTCGTGCAGAGTTCATTACTGAGCCAGTATTTGTACAGGACTCTGCACTGATATTTTAACCCCTACACGATTGTTTTCCAAGAAACAGAAGTACTAAAGCAAGACAGTAAATACACTGCTGAAACTTGTTTCCAAACTCCTGATGTTCAAAAGTCATAAAGACAGGCTGTATTCAGATCACTTCCTGTTTTGTTAGCAAAGCCACAAGTAAGCTCCAAGTGGGAAAGTGACTGTTTAAAGTGGCAAACACCAGGATAAAGAGGACAGCTACACAGCACTCTCAGAAATCCACAGCGGTGAAATCACTGACGGAAGACTGTCATCTGCCTCTGTGCTTTCTACAGGATTGTTTGGAGCCTTGACATCCCTTAACACTTGAATTTTAAACTTATCTGCTGTATTTCTTCAAATGCTGATTTGCTGTAACTCAGAAAGCATCTTAAGAGGAAGTCACCAAGGAGGAGCCCAAGAACTAACAGCTAGAAGGTGTCAGAAAGCCACATTTTGGGAAATGAGAGTGGTGAGAGAAAAGTCTTGGAGCAAGAATGCAGGACACCAGGGTAAAAGCCCAGCCCATAGAATCTGTCCCTAAACACTCTGAACACAAGGTCATAGATAATTCACTTGACTGGATGAGCCTTTGGAAACCTAGTGGTGTCACCCACCAGAAGACCCAAAGTTTGAGAGTACCCACACAGTCGTTTTCCTAGGAAGTAGTCTTTAAGAAGGCCGTCCTTTATCCAATATTGGATTGTTAATAACAGCATCCGACTCGTGGAGGAGTTGTGAGGACCAAATGAGTTAACTCATGTAAGTTTCCTATAAATATGTCTGCTTAAACCATCCCTTTCTTCTCATTCAGTTCCCAAACTGCCCTCTAAGCATTCAAAACACTCCCCAACTCCCTTTTATTAAGTATGCTTGGTTTTTACTATTCTTAGAGCCAGTGCTTTTACCCTAGGGGAAAATGGACCACCTAGATAGCCATGGATGACTCTGCCCTTAACAAACTGTGTGACTCTGGCTGAAACATAAGCTGCAGTTTGCTCATCAGTAAAATGGGAACAATGAATTTTATCTCATAGGGCTATAGTGAGAATAATATAACTAATGTTTAAAAAGTACAAGCAAGTCTCTTCTGCAAAAAAAAAAAAAAGACAAAAATAGTTGTTGCTTTATTTATGAACATTGAAACTTGAGTTTCATATCATTTTCACATCATGAAATATTACCCCTCTTTGAATTTACTTCAACCATCATTCCTCAATTACCTAAAAATAGAAATCCCATTTGACCCAGCAATCGCATTACTGGGTATATATCCAAAGGATGATAAATCCTTCTACTATAAGGACACATGCACACGAATGTTCATTGCAGCACTGTTTACAATAGCAAAGACCTGGAACCAACCCAAATGCCCATTGATGATAGACTGGATAGGGAAAATGTGGTACATATACACCATGGAATATTACGCAGCCATCAAAAACGATGAGTTCGTGTCCTTTGTAGGGACATGGATGAACCTGGAAACCATCATTCTCAGCAAACTGATCCAAGAGCAGAAAATCAAACACCACATGTTCTCACTCATAGGCGGGTGTTGAACAATGAAAACACATGGACACAGGGAGGGGAGCACTACACACTGGGGTCCGTTGGGGGAAACAGGGGAGGGACGGGGGGTGGGAAGGTGGGGAGAGATAACATGGGGAGAAATGACAGATATAGGTGAGGGGAACGAAGGCAGCAAATCACACTGCCATGTGTGCACCTATGCAACAATTTTGCATGTTCTTCACATGTACCCCCAAACCTAAAATGCAATAAAGAAAAAAAAATTAAAATATTAAAAAAAAAGTAAAAGTTATTGTTGGCTCATGGGCTGCACAAAAACAGGTGAGTAGAGCTGGGTTTGTCCACAGGCCCTATTTGGCCAAACCCTGATTTAGCTCCTCTGGCCTTCACTCATCCTTGGATAAGGTCTTCTTTGCTAGTTCCCTACTCCCACTCTATCCAACCAGCCTTCCCTTTCCTCAAATTGGCTTTCACAAACTTATACTTCTATTACCATCTTCAATTTCTCTTTAGAGCTCAATCCAAATCACTCATTCATTCATGTGTTCATCTATCTTTTTTGTTTCATTTTAACCCAAGCCAGAAATGGCCGATAATGTATTCATCATTCGAATAAATGTTTAGTAAGAGTCGCTCTTTGCTATTCTGCTGAGGGGTACTCCTGGCATGACTTTCTTTTGGAAAGCTGTTGCTAAGACTTCCCTTAACTGGAATTTGGTCTTCTGAGACCATCACTTCCCTTGCTTGCTGTCAAATCTTCTCCAACAGAGCCTGTTCTTCATGTGGATCCCATTGAGGACTTCCTTTCCCTTCCCACTGTTTCCATCCTACTTGAGATTCTCTTTATTTTTCACTTATTGTGCTATTTAAAAAAACAAAAAAAATTTTTTATTGCATTTTAAGTTTTGGAAACGTGAAGAACATGCAAAATTGTTGCATAGGTACACACATGGCAGTGTGGTTTGCTGCCTTCCTTCCCCTCACCTGTATCTGTCATTTCTCCCCATGCTATCTCTTCCCACCTCCCCACCCCACCATCCCTCCCTCATTTCCCCCTAACGGACCCCAGTGTGTAGTGCTCCCCTCCCTGCGTCCACGTGAAAAACAAAAAATTTTTAATTTCAAGGCTGCATGTGCAGATTTGTTACATAGGTAAACATGTGTCATGGAGGCTTGTTCCCACAGATTATTTCACCACCCAGGTATTAAGCCTGGCACCAATTATTTTTCCTGATTCTCTCCCTCTTCCCACCCTCTACCTCCAATAGGCCCCAGTGTGTGTTGTTCCCATCTATGTTTCCAAATTTTCTCATTATTTAGCTTCCATTTATAAGTGAGAACATGCAGTATTTGGTTTTCTGTTTCTGCATTAGTTTGCTAAGGATAATGGCTTCCAGTTCCATCCATGTCCCCACAAAGGGCATGATCTCATTCTTTTTTATGGCTGCAGAGTATTCCATGGTACACATACAACACATTCTTTGTCTAGTCTGTTATTGATGACCATTTAGATTGATTCCATGTCTTTGCTGTTGTGAATAATGCTGCAATAAACATTCATGTGCATGTATCTTTATAACAGAACAATTTATACTCCTTTGGGTATATACCCAGTAGTGGGATTGGTGGATTGAATGGCATTTCTGTCTTTAGGTCTTTGAGGAATTACCACACTGTCTTCTATAATGGTTGAACTAATTTACACTCCCACCAACAGGGTGTAAGTGTTTCCTTTTCTCCACCACCTTGCCAGCACCATTGTTTTTTTACTTTTTCGTAGTAGCCGCTTTGACTGGTGTGAGATAGTATCTCATTGCGGTTTTGATTTGCATTTCTTTAATAATCAGCGATGTTGAGGTTTTTTTTTTTACATATATATATATATATGATTGTTGGCTGCATGTATGTGTTCTTTTGGTAAGTATCTATTCATGTCCTTTGTCTACTTTTTAATGTTTTTTTCCTTATAAATTTGTTTAAGTTCCTTATAGATGATGGATACTAAACCTTTGTCATGTGGATAGTTTGCGAAAGTTTTCTTCTATTCTGTGGGTTGTCTGTTTATTCTGTTCATAGTTTATTTTGCTGTGCAGAGGCTCTTTAGTATAATCAGATCTCATTAGTCAATTTTTGCTTTGTTGCAATTGCTTTTGGTGTCTTCATCATAAAGTCTTTGCCCTTGTGTATGTCCTATATGGTACCATGGTACTGCCTAGGTTGTCTTCCAGGGTTTTTATAGTTTTGGGCTTTATATTTCAGTCTTTAGTCCATCTTGAGTTAGTTTTTGTATATGGTGCAAGAAAGAAGTCCAGTTTCAATCTTCTGCATTTGGCAGTTATCCTATATTGTGCTTTTTTTTTTTTTTTTTTTTTTTTTTTTTTTTTTTTTTTTTTTTTGGCTTTCCTGCTTTAGGAATCACACAGATCCTCAGATCCTAACCAATTTTATTGCCACTGTCAACTTCAACTTCATGTTTTTTGCCTTGTTTTGTTTTGAGATGGAGTTTTTCTCATTGCCCAGACTAGAGTACAATGGCACAATCTCGGCTCACTGCAACTTCCGCCTCCTGGGTTCAAGCAATTCTCTTGCCTCAGCTTCCCAAGTAGCTGGGATTACAGGTGCCCACCACCATGCTCAGCTAATGTTTTTATTTTCTTTTACTACAGACAGGGTTTCGCCATGTTGGTCAGGCTGGTCTCTAACTCTTGAAACTTCATGATTTTTTTAAAAGTAAATTTAGATAAATACACTCTTTTCTTTCCCTCATGTTTAGACTGACCACAAGTTAAGTAAAAGACCCATTCTGCAGTCTCTGAATAATTAGAATTGTGTTTCATTTATCTCTACTTTTGCCTTTATATTCCCTTCAAATTGTGCTGCTTCTCTGGATATGTTTCTATGCTTTTTTGCCTACAGCCTCTCCTCACAATAGTCCCTTCTGTAACATGCTGCTTCCTTCCTTACCCCACCCATTGAAATTGTTTCTATTCTTCATATGCTACCACTTTCATATAGCCTTCCGTATTTCCCTCAAAATCATCAGCACTCATGCTCATGATTTCTGAGATTCTTGCAAGCATTCATTCTTGTGTTATTGTTGTTTAATATATTTGCCTTAACTCCCCTGCTTATCCCCATGTGACTTAGCTCATAACGACAGGAACTGAGTCACAGCTACTTTCCCTGATGTGTCACCCAAAGTAGGCTTTCAGTTCTTTTTAAAATAATTAAGAATATGCTTGAACATTTCCACTCTTGAGATGTTCTCTTGTGCCAAGAATTGTGTGGATCCTTTCAAATGTAATGTAGGATTTACTTTTTATGGTACCTTCATCAGCTTCCCCCTATTACAGATGAGAAAACCTAGTGTCTGAGAGATTAAACCACCTAGCCAAAATATTGCAGGAATGGTACCTATCAAACCCCAGGACTAGTGCTCTCACAAAAATCTTTATAGTCAGCCAAAACCTGCTGCTCTGGAATTCTTAGATAGTACTCTATCTGGTGGCTTAAACTGAAAAGAAATAATCCAGTTCCTTCTCCATATAACAACTATTAAATCAAACTTGCAATCAACTATTAGGGCAACCTTACTCCCCAGGGTGTCTTTTCCATAGTTCCTAATTATGTATTCTATAATATAGCATTATATAATTCATT